TGCTGTTATTTTTTAAAATTTCAATGTTTCTTTAAATTAAAATTAAGAAAATATTGTTCTAAAATAATAAAAAAAAGTTGTAATAGAAGAAAATATTACCATTTGTATGTCTGCGTCCAATAATTATTTCTTTGATCTTTGAATAATTTTTTAGGAATACTCTGGTTTTAATTTTCTATTAATATCTTTTTTAATCTTTTTAGAACTAGATGTGATATGATTCAATATGAAAAGTCAGATTTTTTAAATTAAAGACATTAAGGATCTTGATAAAATTGCCCAGTTTTAAAATAATTTTTTTACATATTTGTCATTTAGAAAAAAGATGGCAGCGAAGTTGCTTCGAAATCCAGACAACGTACCAATCCAGCTGTAGGTTTACCGCCTCCTCCAGGTGGTGTCAAGATTGCTCCACCACCGGCAAAGACTCCTACTTCCTCACCGGCGCACAAGCCATTACAAAGTCAAAATCAAGATGTTACGAGTTCAGAATGGGGCGAGTTTGCTAGTGCTTCTCAATCAGCATCAGCACCTGCACCTGCATCCACAGTGGCAAATGCCAGTTGGGTGCAATTCTAACTTTTAAAATACATGTATATAATATTATACATAGATATTTTACTTTAGTATATACACATAGTGATTTTGAAATGGATGGTCAAGCTTTAGAAATATATTCCACTCATCTTTAGAATTACTGAAAGTCATCAAATTTCACAGTAGTGACTATCTTAAATAGTCTTGATGCTGAATTAAAATCGTTAAAAATTTTTGATATTAATGAATGTTGATAAATATTATCTTAATTTTTAAATTCTTGAACTGATAATTTGAGACTGATTATTTATTGGTATACAGTGTTAATATATAATATTAAACAACGTGCATGTTTATATAAACTTGCAAAAAAGTAAGTTTTCTTGAAGAGTTCTAGGAGAACGTTTTCAGATTGGTGTTAATATAATCTTTTTTTTTTTCTCAAAATGGAATATAAGTATCTAAAATTTAACCATGCTAAAATCATTCTTATATATTAAAGTAAATAAAATAATTGATTATATATGTACACACATATGACATGATAGACGTATTAAGCTAGAGATTTTAAGATGATTATTGAAAGGATGTCTATGAATAATGGAAAGAGAGTCTGTATATTTTCCAATACTATATAGCGTGCAATGAAAATTATAGCAACATTCGTCAAAGGGGTTATATTTTTCCAGTGAAAAAAGAAGTTTTAGCAAGAAAACTTTAATATCAAACTTGTCTAAGAAAAATATTTTAAAAGATGACTCAAATTATCGATTAAAATTTACTTTTGGAGATGATATATTTTCTCTTCGGGAAAAATGTGATTTATATGAAAAAGTTTTACTTTGCAAATTGATTTATATTTGTTTTTTATTTTTTAAATATATAATAAATTGCCCTCTTCTCGATTGTTGTACAATTTTCCAGCACCCTATATAATAGTATTGTATTTATAAATATCGTTCAAAAATGCATCTCAATTGCTTTTGGACATTCAATGTATTTGGAGATAGCATAACATAATTTTGTGTAAATGTCGATATATATCAGATGCATTTAGTGCCTTGTACAACTAGTCCAATAAATTAGGGACAAATTCGAGGCAGATTGCAATAGTTAATATATGTGTATTTAGTACTTACAGAGGCACAGTATGACATTCAATTTATCCATCTTATTTTCAATTTATCAATTAACTTCAAATATAATATTATATATAAATGGTTTCTTTTCGGTCTAATTTTTGTGATCATTCTGTGATCGGCTGTAATAAAAACATAAAAATAATTTATTCTCAGCATTCAGTAATGATTTTAACTAATTTTAACTATTTCTTGATTTGCACAGAAAGATTTAATGAATACATATTTGTGTATCTACATATTTGACAATATCTTTTTAGTTAAATATTTTATATAATTTGCTTTATGATTTGAACATCATAATGCGCAGAATATTGATAAATTGAATGCCGCATCTTTTTATTAGATATATTATTCAATATATTATTCAATATATATTTTATTTATTCATTATTATGTTAATTAATACTTTTGAAAAGTACAGTATTAAGTCCTAAGGAAATACACAACACAAATTTCCTAAAGAAACTTTTTGTTATTTATAAATCATTAAATTATTTCTTTTATACATTTTATAAATTGTGATTTTTATTTCAGATTTTTCCGACGAAACAATTTTGCAAGGTATCAATGTATTAATATATTTTGCAAAAATTGAGCAAATATAAAAAGAAAATAATATTTTATCGATTAAAATTAATGTGTTAATAGATTATAAATTTTATAGTCAAATTTAATAATTTGATATTTAGTTAATTTTCCCAATGTTAACTTCTTAATTAACATACATTTATAATATTTTCTATTGCGTAGACATGTTTTATTGATTATTCAAAAAAGTATATATAATACATATCTCCAATATATAATAACAAAATAAGTATTTCGCCTCGATCGTTAGCTTGCAATATTTGTAAATATTACAAGGCCTATTGTAAAAATAAGATCTGATTCCCTTATACATTGAATGTCCACAAAGTTATTTATTCAATTTTAATACATTTGAGCCAAGTTAGGTTTTTCATTGAAATAGCAGCAAGTCGCGTAAATCACATTTTAAATTCACTTTTTTCTCTAAGCTAGTTCGTTTTTCGTCTCGCATGTGTTCATTGATAAATTCTTGCCGAAAAGTTTAATCAGGAGATAAATATACAAAAGAAGTATTTTCACATTTTTATTTCCCAATATGTTTTGTCCCAATCACGATTGAGAAATTAAACGATAGAATTAAGAAATTATATCTCGAATTTTATATAAATTACGTATTAGATCTTAAATAAGATTATTAAATTAATTAATCTTCTGTTCAATAAACAGTAGAAATAGATAAAAATAGATTTTCGTCTACATTCGAATTAAACTTTACTTTTTTTTTTAATCTTTAAGGATAGTATTCGTAAACAATTATTTTACATCTACATATCTTATAAGCATTATGTATAAATTATTATTGGAAGGACGTTATGCCGAAAATGTTTCAACATACGTCTGAGAAATATATGTAAAAAATTTCAGCATAAAGAGAAATAATTCTCTCCGAAAAGATAGAGAATTTACTATATTATCTATTCTCGTTAATTAGATCATAAATTGTACAATGTCATTTACATTATCCTATGCTAAATTTTAATGTAAAATGTAGAATAATCTTGTTGAACATATTGTTAGTGTGAATCTTGTTGAATGAGTGTTTAGATGCAATTTCATATTATATATTTTATTTCTTTTTATTTATAGGAATTGTCTCAAAAAGGTGCGAAGACAGCGAAAAATAAGAATAAGTTATATACATATAATATTAGCATCGAATCAAAGAATTATTAATATTTAACGTTAAATGTAAAAAAAGAAAACTTTTATATACATAAGAAATATTCTTCGAGTAATAATAGTTAAATGTATATGTAATAAATATTATTTTTAAGAATTAGATTGATATAAATTTGTTGATATTAATGAAAATTTTGTTAAAGAAATAGATATTAAAATACCTAAGAAACAAATCATTCAATATTATAAACAAAATAATTAAGTAAAAATCAGATTTTTATTTTAGAAATAATCTTAAATTTCCTTAAAAATTATTAATTTCAACAAACATTTACGATTCCGAATATTAGTAGAAGTAAATATTTACGTGTATATTCAAATGATTTTTCATCAACAGAATTTTTTTTTCAATAAAACAAATTTTGAGAGTAAATGATAAAAATTTTATCATTTGCAAAAATTCTTTATATATATA